ATTTGTCCGTCGCTAAAAGTTAAATTTCCAGCAGTGAGGGTTTCACTGGTGATGCAGTAGATGCTGTTGTAGTAGAAGGACCAGGATCAGGTGTCAATGAAGTGCCACAGTTGGATAAAGTGCCGCGGCAACTATGATCGCCGCGGTCATATAAAGTGCCGCGGCAGTATGGGCTGCCGCGGTCGGAGATTGCCTCCCCTTGTGACTTTTGGGCACCTTCAGTTTTGGGAATCCAGATTTTGCAGTTCTTCGGTGGCTTTTCAGACGCCATTTCCTTCTTGTTTCTTTGAGTTTGCTGACGAAGTGTACGGGCACGAGCGGCCTTTACTTGACGTTTTTGTATACGTTCTTTAAGGGTCGATCGGGCCATTTTGACAAGAGTCCATTCCTCTGCCGTAAGCCTTGCAGAAATATGATTATTTTACCGTTGAGGCAATTGAACCATTTTTTGCTTCCTCGACTTTAGGTCCGCATAGTAATGGACCCCGTCGGTTTGCTGTAAGGCCTTTGGACCAATATCTGGACGAGACCGGCGCGTCGCTGTCTCTGACGAGTCTTTTCGTCATTATCGGGTGGTCACTGATTCAATGACTCCGTTAATGTGCAGAGTCATTCCTAAGATAGGCAGCAGATGGTGCGCGGGATGCAGCAGTCTTGGCCGATAACTGGCGAAGATCTCGACCTGTAGGTCTTCATCAGAATTGATAGAAGACTTGAGGAATTCTTGGAAGAGGATCTTCCTGCACTTGCGGGGCCCGAGAGGAAGATTTTGAGAGGATAAGGGATGGCAGGTTACTCGTCGAATCGGCCCTTGATCGGGAACTCATATTCGTCTCTTCAGCTGACAATGATCTTAATCGGCTACGACACTGCGGCCTCACGGCAGCGACGGCCGCTGGCTCCCACTGTGGTCGCCAGTTTGTATTCAGCGAAAAAAAGTCGTTTTTTCCTTTGTCGATTCCATTAACTCGATCGTTTACAGACAATTACAATGAAAAATAAGCAAAATTACAAACGCTCTCGAGAAAATAAAGATGCTTTATCAACTCCTTGCTGTTGTGGAGACTTTGCCTTATGCCGAGAGTGCTTTGGTCGGGACCACCGCATTCACAGATCTGTGAGGGTGTTTAGGGATCTTTCCTTCGTTTATCGAATAAAGATGAAAGCGATATCTATCGATGTAGATATTCACTCTTCAAAAGATTAATTTCTTGAGCTTAGATCTACTAGATCACCAAATGATGCTTGTCAAATGAGGTTGAAAGTTTCTCTCTTTCTTCCTCAAATCACAAAAAGCTCAAGTCTCTTCTGCTCCAAATGCTCTTCTGTCCTTTTATTTTTGTGTTTGGGAGGTATTTATAGGGTAGAATGCCACAACAGATCGAAATGGAGGCGAAACAACGACCAGATGAACCCTCTTGCCGCTGGCAGCCAACACCTGCGCGGCTTATTTGCGCGGTAGTGTGACTGCAGCGGCCACAGAGGCGGTTACCAACACGTTCCATCGTGCTTGAAACTGTTCTCCCATGACCTTTAACCATATTTTTCGTGGTTTAACTGCTTGTCCACGTCAACACACGTTTTATCTCTGATATGCCGCCACGTGGGCTTCAAATAATCATCGTATAACTGCCTTGTAACCACCATAGCACCCCCTATAATAGCCGCTGCACCCTAGGCTGCCGCGTCTTAGCCGCGGCACCATATGCTACCGCGCCATAGCCGCGGCACCATGAGCTGCCGCGCCTTAGCTGCGGCACCAAGTGCTGTCGCGCCTCAACCGCGCCGCCATGTACTGCCTATTGGTGTGTACATTGTTCTTATGTGTTGTCTCACTTCCTTTGAATGATCCCCTCTGATTAAGAGAATGGCTTTTATCATCTTCTCTTTGTCTTGAGTGGTATTTGGATGCCTATAAGCATTTTTTACGCCTACAAAGCATGTAGGCGAGCTTCGTTCGTGCTAGCGAACTTCAGCGTTTGAGCGGTCTTGACCCGTGCTGGTGAGTCAAGCATGCATGCGAGCTTCGTTCGTGCTGGCGAACTTCAGCGTTTGAGCGGTCTTGACCCGTGCTGACAAGTCAAGAATGCAGGCGAGCTTCGTTCGTGCTGGCGAACTTTAGCGTTTGAGCAGTCTTGACCCGTTCTCGGGAGTCAAGCATGCAGGCGAGCTTCGTTCGTGCTAGCGAACTTCAGCGTTTGAGCTGTCTTGACCCGTGCTAGCGAGTCAAGCATGCAGGCGAGCTTCGTTCGTGTTGGCGAACTTCAGCGTTTGAGCGGTCTTGACCCGTGCTGGTGAGTCAAACATGAAGGCGAGCTTCGTTCGTGCTGGCGAACTTCAACGCTTGAGCGGTCTTGACCCGTGCTGGTGAGTCAAGCATGCAGGCGAGCTTCGTTCGTGCTGGCAAACTTTAGCGTTTGAGTGGTCTTAACCCGTGCTGACAAGTCAAGAATGCAGGCGAGCTTCGTTCGTGCTGGCGAACTTTAGCGTTTGAGCAGTCTTGACCCGTGCTCGGGAGTCAAGCATGCAGGCGAGCTTCGTTCGTGCTAGCGAACTTCAGCATTTGAGCGGTCTTGACCCGTGCTAGCGAGTCAAGCATGCATGCGAGCTTCGTTCGTGCTGGCGAACTTCAGCGTTTGAGCGGTCTTGACCCGTGCTGGCGAGTCAAGCATGTAGGCGAGCTTCGTTCGTGCTGACGAACTTCAACACTTGAGCGGTCTTGACCCGTGCTAGTGAGTCAAGCATGCAGGCGGCATTGAGCTCTCGATGGCAGGCTCGATGATTAAAGCGAGTTTACTTGGCTCTTCTGCGTGCAGGCGTACCCATACAGACGGGTTATTAGATTTTCTCGTTGTTTGAGGCAATTTTTATAGCCTACAGTGACTGACTTTTCGAGCGATAACCAGACTGCTCTAGAGCCTTCCGATCCAGTATTTCCCAGTCCTCGTTTGTCTCATCCTTCTTCTTTTCCTTTGCTTTTCCCATCAACGGACGATAAAGATCCTTCTGGTATAGATAGTCCTCCATCTACGATTTCCAGTAGGCGAAGTTTGATCCATCAAACTTCTCAATTTTCGATTTGCTTTCTTCCGTCATAGCTCTCACACTTGCCGAATGAAGCTCTAATACCAGTTGTTGGGATTAATCTATAGACAACTTGTTTAAAACCTTCGGATCTTGTGTCGAAAGAATAGCAAGCAAGAAATCATAGCAAAACAAAGAACTCGCACGTAAAGAAAAAGCAAAGAAGAGAGAACACCAGATTTAACGAGGTTCGGCAAACGTGTCTACGTCCTTGGGAGCCACACCAGAAATTCTTTGATTATTAATGAAGATTACAATGTCTGCAAGCGACTATCTCTCTCTAAGATCTCTGATCTTAAAGTGCTGGATTTTCTCTGAAAACCACTCTTGAAAATCTCACCAAAACAACGACCATGTCTCCTTATTTATAGGAAACCCTAAAAATGAAACAGATGAGGAATTTGTTTTATAGCAAAGTTCGCCTAAACTACAAAGTCCGCCTGAACACTCGAAGTTTGCCTGAACTGCGAAGCCCGCCTGAAAACTCGAAGTTCGCTGAACACACCGAAGTTTGCCTGCAAGACTTTTGTTCGCCTGACCATAGTCAAGTCCGCCTAAACCGATCGAGCTTCGCTTGCTCAAGTCCGCCTGAACTGATCGAGCTTCGCCTGCTCAAGTCCGCCTGAACTGATCGAGTTTTGCTTTAACACAGCTTCGCTTGCATGCCAAGTTCGCCTGATTTCCTAACTTAGAAAATTATGTTGTGCATGCCGATCGTTCCAAGGTTTGGGTCTACACCCCTAAAACCAACAAACTGCAACTCCCAAACAATTTTTAGAGCACCAAACGACTGGCTATTTTATTGGGCATTTTGGCTATGGACCCTTAAAAATAATCCACATTTACTAAAATCTTCGACAATGAGTTAGCACCCCACCCCCAAACACACACACCCACACATTAAAAAACTTAGGAGTATTTTGACAGTAGCTAAAAATTGAAGCTTTGGAGGATATTTTAACAAATATAAAGATTTGGGCAGACTTCAATAACTATGGATGCTTTGGAGGGTATATCGCCAAAAGAAGCATTTCTTTTGTGGTGATTTTCTTAAATAAACATAAAGCATAGTAGGATTGAGAAAAGGCAATAATTTGATATTCAAATTTAGAAATAATAATTAAGGGTAAATTTAAAGATACCTACACTTGGATATCAATTGAGAAAGCCTTAAATAATGGAAAATTAAGTGGTAGATTAAACCAATCTCATATAATATAATTTCGTTTCTTTAACTACTCGGTGTCCGCGAAACTGCTTAATTAGAAAATATGTCAATCTTCTACAGTTATATGACTTATAGGTTCGTGAAAGTCCGGTCCATTTATTCACACTCCTAAACAGTAACTTTGGGGGTGTGTGAGGACTAAATTGCCCTTCTTCAAAACCAAACCAGACCAAGTCCAAAAGGGCATTTTCGGCAATCCAACTCCCAAAATTACTGTTTGGGAGTGGATATAACAAACATGGTGAAAGTCCTATAATTTTCTTTTAAGGAATAATTATGTTCCAGTATCCTGACTCGTACAATGTAATTACACGGGTATCCCTGAAGTTTGTGCACCCACCCGTACAATGTAATTATTTAAATCAAAATTCGGCGTAGTAATTAATGCGCAGTCAAGAAGTGAATTGCAACGGACTAATGGACAGCGTTTCCTAATTTGATGAGTTAGTTTGTTGCGTACTTTCCTAATTTGTTAAGTGGCGTGATTATTCCGCGAGTAATCATCATTAGCGCTTCGATTTGGCGGGAATTTCAGAGGGAGGATGATCCTGGCCGTCCATCTATCCCTCACCGCGTTATATAAATCGAGGTCTGAACTGGGAAAACAAACACGCGCTCTGTTTGAAACCTCTCTCTCTCTCTCCAAATTCTAGGGTTTTAATCCCCCGCCGA